ATTGCCATTCAAATCCCATATATAAATATTATAATATAAAAAACTTTTGATATATGTTAATTTCAAAAAAAAGTTGAGTTTGAATGGCGCAGTTATACTATTCGAATATTAAATTAATTAATAGAACAATAATTAACTTCTAATTATAATTAGTAATAAATATAAAGTTAATTTCCAATATTAATGTAATTATTTTAAAAATATTCAGTATAGAGTACACTAATGTATTTTTTTTTTAAATATTTTCTTAGTTGTTTAAATTATAACATTGTTTTTCCAATATCAGAAACTTGATAAACCAAAGTTATAATTTGAATATAGTGTATTTATTTTACATTAGGTTTTTGGAGTATGGGGGTGGGTGGGGGTTAGTTTAAATTTTAAATATAAAAAGGTTATTATAAATTAATTAAAATAATACTAGGAAAAAGAAATCAGAGAGAAAAAAAGAAGGGAAGAAACAAAAACTTAACCGTCGACAGCAGGGTTCGAACCTGCGCGGGCGAAGCCCAACAGATTTCAAGTCTGTCTCCTTAACCACTCGGACATATCGACTGATGTTACTTGGAGCGGAACTAAATAACTATAATCTCTTATATATTTAATTTCAACACCACATTTCTTTCTCTGATTTAGTGTGAAACACCGTATTTGAAATTTCTTTTTTTGATGATTACCGTATTCGAAATTTCGATTTCCGATTAAAAATCCAAACATAATGTTGTATAAGCCATAAGGTATGAATAGTACTAAATTCCTTAATTACTATGTTAGTGTAATACTTTTTTTTTTTTGTTATTAAGTTATGTATTAAATTGGTCATTTTATTTTATTTTCACTTTTAAAATGTTATCCCATGCATCGTATAGGAAAAAAATGCAAGTTAGTGTTAAATCAAGAAACATATTAATGACAAATTGGGACACTATTTTTTTTATTTTAATGAACGAGGATAAACATACACTCTCGTATAACAGCTTGCAAACTATATGACAGATGTAAACTAACTAGACTAATCATGTGTGACAAACTCGACCTCACGACCATTAACAAGGAAATTCAAACCCGAATCAATTAACGCAAACTCACTTACTCCAACCACTAGATAATCTGTTACATGACGTAAATTAGGAAAATGTCATTTAGTTGAAGAGCGTATGACGTGAAAAACTGGGATTCTAATGTTGCTTCCACAAGTTTATTGCTCAACCAAAGTTAGTTAAAATTTAACTAATTTCTAGTATATTTATTTATTGGAAGATATATCTATCAAATGGCAAATGGCAAATGTGAATATACTTATCTTTATCATGTATAAAAAGTTATCTAGAATTTTCCAAGGTCAAGACCATGAAAAAAAAAGTACTAACTCTTCTTTTTGAAATAATAAAATTTATTGCAAAGAATAAGCTTCCAAAATGGCAAAATAATTGACACTCATAAACAAATTATTTGCTCTTGAAATTATAATGGACCAAGATTCAATATTAAGATATATGCATATGAAACTTATTTTTAAATTGTATATAGTGATTTCATTTCGATGCAGTCTAGTGGGG